TGGAAAAGGAGAAAGCGGACAAGAAGGGAAAGAGAAGCCAGATTGCGCACCCAGATCGTGGTGTCGTTATTCACCGAACCGGCTCGAATATCTAATTACGATGAAAGAGGTTGTCCACGTAGCGGAGTCCCAATGAAAAATTCAATATGAAACTGTAATCGGGAGCTCCGTCTTTCTCCACGGATTAGTATCGGCGGCCTGGCCGCCTTCTCCGCTTCCAATGTCCGTGATTTATGACCGGGCCACATGTAACGCGCATCGGCTGAATAATTTTCTCTGCCAGCTCGATGTACGATACTTTCCCATTCTCATCGATCTCTAAGTGTCAAACTGGTATTAAAATCGGCCGAGTGTTGTACGATATCTTATCGAGTTCTCGTCGTTGAAGACGACCTGCCTTCAAGCCCCTTCTACTTTTGAGCGAATCAAACAGAGTTCACAGAAATGGGAGTAAATGGACTGACAAAAAAGCCAATCGATTGCTTGGCATTCTGATATTTATTCAACTTGATTTCGGGGCGAACGTGGTTCAGGTGATATTTTATCTGGAGTGAAAAAGAGAAGAAAGAAAGAAAACTTAAGAGAGATATTTTTGTGTTGAGACAGTTATGGAGAATAGGTTTGAATCAGAACTGTTGCTTCTAGATTGAATAGTTTATAATTTTAACTACATATAGAATAAGAGAAAGAAAAATGTTGTTGAAGAGTGATTGGAAGAAATAATGGTCGAGATAGTATCAATAGTATTAATAGATTTGATAATGATATTAAAAAAAATTATAAGAAAGTTGTAAGAAATGATTTTCAACAGAAGTGTAAAGCCATTAACCTAATGACATTCTTAATTGCAGATTCGACAAGAATTTCTAGTTTAAGACTGTGGTGCTTTCTATAAGAAATTTCAAAGGAAAAGCGACAAAAACAAGGCCTCGATCAAATCCCGCATCTAGTCCTGGCAAGTTTCTTTCCGCGCGCTAATGATCCCCAAATCTTCACAAAAGACTCGGATCGCAATCTCGTTTCCTTTTAGAATACCTGTTTATCTTGTAGCAATATCGAACCAGAGACGAGAAAGATTAGACATGCCTTGTTATGAGGTGAGATAGGGAATTCAAATCTTCCCTTTCGAGGTGAACTTCGTTAGCATAACAACGATCTGCAAGGAACACGTGGAACGTGAGACGTTCAACAAAATGCGAAAAAAAAACGAAGAGACAAGCTTCCTCGGGAGACGAAGCTTGTGCAGGCGCAATGATAATGTCGAGGAATTTTCACGTCGCGGCTCTTAATAAAACTTACGAAACGCACGAAATGTAATAAACGAGCGACGTGTATAGGTGATACACGCGGCCAAGCGACTGACCCACTTTTTCTCAAGATGTATGAATATTAGTTTAACGAACTTGTCGCAACGAAGATATAACTGCCACTCTTTCCTTCTTGCTTTTTCCGTAGGTGTAGATAGTATTGCATTTCATGTACTTGCATTGCACGAATTTTTTTTCACATTAAACGAGTCGTCTTCAATTCGGGTGGTAATCAGCCATCTTCTTATTTTCACAAACGTTTTGCATTTTAAGCACGATGTCGTGTAGAGATTTATCATCATTCTTAATTTAATATCTTTCATGTGATATTTCACGAATATCTTGACATAAAATTGTAAAATCTATTTGTTAAACATATATCTGTAACATATATATATATGATTTATCACTTGTCAATTTACTACTAATATCATTTGTTGGTAATTTATAGCATAAGATGCCCCTAGATGTCAGTTTGATCGTAATTCTCTAGTAGGGAGAAAGCAAGCAGATTAACGCCGGTCAGAGTAATAATTCGTGCGGAGAACATCGGAAACGGTTGGAACGTCTGAATCGCATATCCGGCCGAAATGGCCGGATACGAATCGAGTGTCAGCTTTGGGAATTCAGCCGGTCGATCGGTCGATTATACACGCCGTAATAGAGCGTCACGCAACTATGAGAATCCGTTGTGTACTGGTTGGCTTCGAGCTACCTCGAGATGTGTCGAAACAGAAGCTTCCACGCCACGCGCCACGCTTCAGGATTTGTAAGTGGACACGTGTATGCAGTTACCCTTTGGCACCGTGTTCTCGACGTGGAATTAACAACACGACGTCATTAGACCGGATGGAATAACTAATGAAAGACCCTTGAACGGGGATGAAGATTGATTTTCAAAAATACAAAGAGCATTTGATCTTTTTTCGTAAGTGTCTAGTTTATATAAAGACAAGTGATCTTTCTAAATTGAATTAAAGAATTAAAACTTTTGATAAATTATATCTAATATCTTTTTCCATGCATCGAATAAGTTACTTTTGTATCGATAGATTGAAAATTGTCACTTTATAAATGTTGAAACATCTCTTGACGTAATAATCCTGGCTGATCAATGATTGACAACTAACAATAAGTGGATGCCAATTGAATTCTCTTTTTTAAACACAGAAGTCCTATTGATGAAATGGTTGTGACAGCCCAGTCGATCATCGATATTGCCTTTTCCACGTATCATTAATTATCATTGGTTAAAACAGATTCTAATAACAAGCAAGAATATTCAATCGGAAAAATCACAGTTACTTCAGAACAGAAAACGATCGCAGGATAATCAGAATCATCTACGTTTAATTGTAAAATGGTTTTACAATCGGATCCTTATAATCGATTAGTAATGATCGGGTTAACGCTTTTCAATTAAAACTTTCTGTCGACAGGGACGAACTCTGGATAAAAGCATCGATTCCATGCAAGAGACAATGTCTGAGAGAATTTCAACGTGGAATCAATCTGACGATTACATTTATTTCATATTTATCCAAAGATCAAATTGTGCGATAATACATCCACTTCATTGGAAGTTTACGAGAGAATAGACGTTATCTATCCTTGTGCAACGACACGAAGATTCACCAACAGCTGCGGCAATCGTCGGAAAAAGATACGGGAGTGTGCAATGTTTTAACTCGATTCAGAATTACCAGCTTGAACACGTGTACACGTGTATCCCCTTGTTGCGCGTTCACCGCGGCCATTAAAGCCGCAGCTTTAACTGACCCCGGCGGAGCTTTGCCGATATATTTTCCGTAGAGACCGGTAAACGCTGTAGTAAGTTGCTCACAGATCTGTCGATCGACATTTTACTGAACTGTTTGGAACTCGCTCTACTTGAAATTGGTCTCTTGCACTCAGATTATATTTATAGACTTTGTTATTTCTATTAATGGCAGATTAAAAATTTCTTTGAAAATTTTTGAGAATTCATACTATTTAAAAATATATCAAGATATATTATATTATATTTACATAGTAAATATAAATGGTAATTATTCTATATATTTTATAATATCATTTTTAAAAAAATCTTTTGAATGATATCATCCATATTTCTTTTCCTCAATAAAGAATATTACTCTATTCTTAATCAATGTTTACAGCCTATAAATAACAAGAAGATAGAGAAAGATATTTTTCCTGGTATTCAAGCGCCAAATCGTCCCATTATTCAAATCAGAAGACAATCAATCATCTAATCAACGATTCAAACTCTAATTATCAAGACTCTCTCAAAGTTCCTACTTCAAGATTGGAAACCGTGGAATTCCATTAAAGTACAGGTTCTCCCCATCGAGGGTGAACTGCAAGAAAATGCAGACAGAGTAACTCAACTCGGTTCCACGACCAGATCGAACAAAACGTTATTCGCGATACATGAAGGGAACTCGATATCCTTTTTTTCAGTAGAACTGGAAGCATGCACACCCTGATGACTGATCGTGGAAGCTCTTATTAAAGCGATTCACGCTGTAATTCTTCGCAATCCACGTTTCAAAAGGCGATGAGCTATAACGTTTTCATTAGCCCTAGCTCGCTACGCGTAATCCCAGTGCACTGGTTGCCTTTTCGAGTCGTTTCATTCCAAGCGTGTATACCTCCCCGGTTCATGGCCAATGAGAATGCGATCCGGCTTCTACTTCAAGGTATTCTCTGCTCTTCTCTGTTTCCGCCGGAGGCCGCCGACTCGATTAATCGTCGATGGAGGCTAACATGTAACAGAGTCAATCTCTTTGAGAGAAAAAGAAATTGTCTCTTCGTTTGTGCGTTTTGTGTTACAGGTTCTGGGTAATTTTAAAGTTTTCAAAGGTTTGGAAAAAAAAAAATTTAATCTGCTCTTCTTGAACAGAGAAGAAAAGTTATCAGTGAAGAAAGAACATTAACACTTTTCTCTTTTAAACTTGAAATTCTTTTGATTTATAACAATTTGACAAGAAAAGTGTTTCAAAAGAAGGAGAATAATTATCAATAACGAATGAAATAGCTTTCTCGTCGTGAAACTTGTAAAGCCAAGTATTTCGGTAGCATGGTTGTAGAATCGGTGCGTCGGATCTCTATGCACAATGAATGCTGGCACAAGGAGTTACCGCAATGGTGCCATTTGCTGCCGGAAACGTTGACCAGGGTATCGTAAAGAAGTTCAGAGAAGCCTCGAAAATGCTCACTGGAAGACGACTTCTTTCCTTTGCGTGGCTGAAAGAAATTGAATTTACCGTTTCGCGAGAACCACTAAGATCTAGCAACGTTCGAATCTCGTGGCCATCTTGGACCCATCTTAGAGAAGCCATTAAAGAGAAACGGTTAATAGGATCATAATAAAAATTAATAAATCTATTTTAATGTTTAATTACGATTCGTCAACTTATATTTTTACTTTAAATATTACTTGTTACAAACAAATTTAACAAAGCACACAGGATTTATAAAACAAAAATGTCACGTTAAGTATAGTTAATTCTTTACAAAATTACATTTTAAAAAGAAAAAAGTACATTATATAACTATAATTGAATTTCATAGATCATTCTCTATAATCATTATCTATAAAAAAAAAAGTAATATAAATTTTCTCTTCTTAGAAATAGGCCACGTGGCAAACGAATCCCTGATGGAATGTTAAAGTTCGACGTCCATGAAAGGAAACCATTTCTCAACCAACTCTTCGAACGGTAACGATAGTAGAAGAAAAGAAGGGGCATGAAGGAAGTTTCGCAGAAACGTAATAACTCTGGCAAAGATTAGACGGATAAGGGGGAACCGTCAAGACGTCTACTTCGTAAGATAAGATTCGGCAGAGACGCTTTGAAGCCTTTCGTATCGATAATGTAACTTTGACCGACCAGTCGTGTAACATTAAATCGCTCAATTATCAGGTCCAAGTATAAACCGTGCAATGACTCGTGCACTTGGCAAAAAGAAAATGGAAAAAATCGACTGATACGGTGTCGACTAATAAAGTGATCATTTTTTTTATTGATCCTTTTTTCGATTAATAAATTTCTAAATTATTTCAAAGAAATCACTAATATATAATTATCATAGAATTTTTTATATCGTGTACAGAAAGTATCAGAGAACCATTCGTTATCTTTACGAAATTAAAAAACATTTTTAATTTCTTCTTGTTGTAACTCGAATTCTAACTTCGGCATTTTCATTTCAGGAGGAATCTAATTAATCTTAATCAATAGAAGAATTTAATTCGTAAGAGTAAGTACGTCTATCGCTTAGAAATTAACGTTCAATAAATGATCTGAAGGAGATAGAGGATCAAGGAGTGCGTCGTAAAGATTTATGGTTCATGAATCAACGTGAAGACACGAAACGTGGAATCCATCTTGGAAACTATTGGATGAAAGGAAGAATGCTTGCACATTGTCGACAGACACCAGGAACGAGAATCTGAACAAGATTAGGCTAGTTTCCAAGTCAACCGAAAGGACAGCCGTGCCACGCGACACTTTGCCGGCGACTGGTCCCTAATGATCGTTCGCATTTGTCGAATTTAATTCCGGATATTCGATTCCTAAATGCCTCGGGGCGAGACGAAAGCCAGCTGCCGGTCGAATCGATTCGAACATATCCCTGCTGGAGTTCAAGGGGTTGGATAGTTATCGGAAACGTGGCTAAAAACGATAGACTATAGAAGACGGGAATGAAATACTATCTTGACCCTGTTTACCAGCCAGTCGGCCTATAGATTCTTTGCTTATGAGTCGCTTGTTTAAACTGATATCTGATAACACAGTTTCCTTGATCGCAATCATATAGTATCTACCAGTATTACTCGATAATATTTCATCACTTGTCGCATGTAGATGTGGGTCGGTCAATTAATTAAATTGGATTTTTCTTCTTAAAAAATATGATATAAATGAATTAAAAAAAAAAAGAATGTCGTTATAGTCGATATAACTTACATTCTGCTGCTACTTTTATATACAAACAATTGTCGAATTGCATTTACAAAAATTTTTTACTATATGATTTATATTGTTTTTGTGAAATAATATTCTGCAAGATAACATTTATCTTATATAATGTTATTCGATAAATATTTGTAATATCATATTGGCAAATGAATCATTGCATACATTTAATGATTATTGATATGTAATGTACAATATATATTGATAAAACATATGATTACAGGGTGAAAAATAATTAACAAAAGCAATGCATAACGAATAGTAGAGATTGACAAGGCCAAGAAATAGTTAAAGGAATACTGGAAATGCTCGCGCCTTGCGACATTAATCCATTTTCAGATAACCATGCTCTCTGGTCGCTTAAACTGTTTCCTCTGTCGTCAGACAAAACGACAAGACAATCGGATCTTTTACGAATTATGCACAATTATGTCACGGTCGTGGATATTAAAAATTTTTAAATTTTGAATATCATTTTCAAATTTTTATGTAAGCATAAAAACGTCTAATCGATAGAAATTGCGCATGAACGAACAATGCACTTTACGTTTAATAGCGTTGTTAAAAATTATGATTATGAATTGGAAAATGGCTTGAAAGTTTTGAAACTAGAGGAGAATCTTTATAGTTCAACGGGTTAGAACAAAGATATTGAGGTATTAAACTGGATAAGTATATATGATTATTATCTCTTTCTACATCATTTTAGTTAAGTTTAAAATATGTATTTTTGTTAGATATCAAGTAATATTTTTAAAATGTATAATTTCACAGATCACAGTATTTCTGACAACTATCCACATTGCAAATGCTGCTCTTACAAACAATAATTATAGAAAATCATGTAAGACAACATAAAAACTCGAATATTTATGAAATCTCATGATAGACTGAGAAATAATGTACACATCACATATTTTCAATTTTGAATATCATTTCACATTCAACCCATATACATTTCACGTGTTTACAAGTTGATTCAACAAAAGATTTCTTCCTTTTCATTTTACAGAATCTGCCTCGATCATTAAGCGAAGATAATCACGATGGCGGACGCATAACTTGATCAATCCTCGACGATCTTGGCGATGTATTTTTTTTTTTCTTCTCCTTATTTCTTTTCCTTATTTCTCTCTCCCTTTTTAGTTCGCAGTTGCGCAATCTTCCCCGTACTTTGAACGGTCTCGTTTTACCGTCTGCTCCGCTCCTTCGAGCAGATTTATTCTATTTATTCGCTCAACCTCGAGGGAAGTCGGCCGATTACGTCGAAATTCCTTCTCCAAAGCCCTCCGAATCGACCTCTTTCCAATCTTTCTCTCGCTCTTCCTTTTTTCCCCTCTCCTCCCTCTCTTTTTCTCTCTTCTAGCCAAGCTTTCGAGTGTTTACTCGCGTGTTCGAGTTCTGTCAGTATCACACGCTCTCCGCCAAACAAATCGATCGTCTCCTATCGCCGCCTCTTTTCGCCGATTTTCGCCCGCCTTTCGACTCGACCGATCCCCCGGGACCACGAAGCTTTTGCGGGTGAGAAAGGCAAGACCAGCAAGATCAATTCGAAGCAATGAACGGTATATGCATCGTTTCCACGATACAACAATACACGTAACAAATGTTCTCTCACAAATATAATAAGCGTCCACCTGAAATATACAATCTAGATAAAACGACAAAGTTAAATTCTACTTACATGTCCAAGGATCAGCCACGTTGAACGACCGGCTTAGGTACGAAGTTCTCGTCGCCTGGTGCGAGGAGAATCGGCTTGGCAACCGATGGAGTCGCGCGTGTGAACGTCCCTCGACACACAACGTGCACGCTTATCCGGGCTTCACAGCCGCGTCTTCCCTTCTATTGCGACGTCGCACCTCCTCATCTCGCCATCACTTGTCCACGCAGAGATTCTTCCTCACTTTCCTTCACTAAAAATTCCATCTGTCGTATCTTCCTCCGAAAACACAAGATACGACTCTCCTCTCTTCAAAGTTGATCAACCGTTGAGTCAATTCGGAAAACGTCCATCAAGGAGGCCAGGGTGTCGCGTTCCTCGCGTTGTATATACGAGAGAGCCCCCTCTGCTTCGCCACCGAATCGCGAGCCTTCGTTCGCGAGAGAGAACAAGGTTCGAGGAGAAACAAGGAGAAAGAACGTCGAATGCCGCGGCCGAAAGGCAGGTCAGTGCGTTGCCAGAGGATGCGAGCTGCCACGCTGTGCTTCCAAAAATACGATATCCTTTTGCACGGGAAGCGACAGCAACCAATGACGCACACGCGATTCGTCAATGAAAAAAAAAAAAACTAGACAAACCAAAAGACCCAAGATGTACCGGTTCACTCTCCTAGCACGATGAATGACGAGGGCACCGAGGAGAGGAGAGAGCGAAGCGAGCGGCCGACGAACGACCGTACGAACGAGGCGGCTGAAAGCACCGGAGAAAGAGTAGGAGTAGTGCGAAGAAGCAACGTCGAGGAGGGGTGTACCAAGCGGTGGATCCAAGGTGGGGGGAGCGATTTGGGTGGCGGGCAACGACTAGGGGTGGCTCTGAAGCCCGGTAGTTGTGCTCTCGCTCTTGCCTGCCCGCTTGCCTACCTGTCTGCCAGTCTGGTTTGCCTGCTTCAAGATTTGCTCGACTGTCTAGATGCTTGCTCGCCAAAACTAGCTCGCTTTTACTCGCCTCGCCTTCGCCGTTCCGCTTTCCATGCTCTTTCTCTGTCACGCTCACTCTCTCTCTCTCTCTCTCTCTCTCTCTCTCTCTCTCTTCTTCTTCTTCTTCGTTCGTTCGTTCGTTCGTTCG